CTGCTTTCGGTATGGGTCTGGACTTTCAAAAACCCAATTAAGCGCTCGGAAGAATGCTGGGAGTGTCACCAGTATCTCTGCCTGGGGATCGGATCCATCTCCTTTATCAAAGACTGATTCCCGCTTACAAAAGCCAAAGAGAATTAAGTGCAATCTATTTTTCAAATCATTTGAAATTTGCATTAGGGAAGAACTTTATTGATTTTATAATTAAGGTGGGGATGAAATTCACTCTTGATGATGGATTAGAACAAGGTGGTGGTGGGGGAAATGCCCTGTCTTTAACTGTTTTAATTCCCTACCTTTTTAATCTTCCTAATTTAATTTAACTTCCTTCAAAAAATGAAAAGTAGATATGCAGACTGGGAATTTTGGCAGCTGAGATCTTAACAAATCTGGAGAACACTGGCTGGTGAAATCTATCTATCTATCTATCTATCTATCTATCTATCTATCTATCTATCTATCTATCTATCTATCTATCTATCTATCTCTGTTACCAATTTCATTTTGACTTGTGACGGTTTACGGTAATTAAAATATGCTTATTTTCCTGATACAAAGCTACTCTTTTAATCCACAAACCCAGCCCCTGGCTTTCCTGGCCTTGACAGCTACTAAATCTTGTTTTCTGCATGCATCTAAACTTTAACAGCACAGCCACAGCAGTATGTTTTTCATTTCAGCCTCCATGGAGGTGCTTTTTTTATAGATGTATCTAGATATACTTGTCAATAGGAGATAAAACTTCATGCACAATAGATTCAGATTACTGTACTTCACGAAAGAGCCAGAATACATGAATTAGTATCACAAACACTATTTCATTTTATATTTCTAAAGTCACAAACACATTAGACCTCAGTGGTTTGAACTGCTGCTCTGTTTTGATATGCACTCCCACAAATTGGATTCTTTCTACTTAGGGAACATATTAACAAATACAGATTAATAACCAGAGAACCATTAGGATACAGATTAGTCATTCAGACTACGTAGGGTGATCAACTTGCCATCACAAAACCTACAGCAGTTTAGTAACCTGCTCCTTATAGTGACAAGGTACACCAAATAATTTTTTAATAGGTAATGTTTTATTAGATTGTTAGTCATTGCTTCTAATGGAAAAGTACTGAAGCACTTCAGCGTCTCAGCAGGAGAGAAGAATTGCGTTTGGCAAGGAGAGCAACATACTAGATAGATAGGTAGGTAGGTAGGCAGACAGGCAGGTGTTTCTTAATCTTGTCAACTTTAAGATGGGTGGACTTCAACTCCCAGAATTCCCCTGGCAGCTGTGCCTATCCCAGACTCAAGTTTTTATCTTGGGTTCCTTCTCTCTGCATCCATGAACACCAACTAGCAGTAAGAAGATATGGCGAACATTCCTTAATTGCGCAACACATGGATAGACTCAACCATACTTTCAGCTGGAAGATGGTAAGCATCCTAGACCAAGCCAAGTTCAAAACAAAAACAAAACCACCAGAGAATTCCTGGAAGCCTGGCACTCAGACAAATTGGCCAGTCAACAGGCACATGCAGACAAACAACATCTACATACCATTCAAAAGAGACAGTTAAAAAGCTGAAAGACCCCCACACCTCCTGACCAGCAATCAACACCCACATAAGCAGAGATTAACAACAAGCAATAAACAATACCCCAATCAAGGAACTTTCAAGTGAGTAAACCACAGCCTAATCAAGGACCCATCAAGAACACTCCAACTCCCTTTATCAGTGATGATGTTACCTAGTTGGGTCATGAAACATCTGCAAGAAAACCACCCAGCTCAGAGAGCACCAAGGACCCCACAGTCCTCCTCCTCCTCCTCCCCTACTCCCTTCTAGCACTGATGATGTTACCTAGTTGGGTCATGAAATGTCTACAAGAAAACCACCAAGCTCAGAGAGCATCAAGGACCCTACACCTTTTGTCTCTCCCTCAAGGCCATTTCCTCATTCTCTACAATAGGTGCCCTCCGGATTTTTTGAAGTTCCCTTCCCTCCAGACCTAGCCGCCATGGCTTGTGGGAATTGTAGTTACCCACCCCGCCCATAATCTGCCCTCTTGAGATGCTACCCAGGGTTTAGTCGAGCTCCACTTCTGTGCAACCTCAGAAACATAAGTGAAATCCCAAGCAGAGAAGGAAATGAGAAACGAAGGGCCAAACAATAAGCGAGCTTATTTTGTATGCCTCATCAGGAAATGCCAAATGAACTCTAGAAAGAAGAAAGAAAAATGAGCTGCTACCAACCATGGCTGTGCCTTCACAAGTGATCCCTTCAGGCCTGCACAATAAATTTGCAAGTTAATGCACATTATTAATGTGTGTCAATGTCTCACAGATGTTTTCTTGCTCTGTTAATTTTGTCCTCTTTAAATAATGCTGTTTCACACTGAAGCTCCTAGCCTCGGTTTAAGAAGCCAGGCACCGTGATCCAGATTTTTTTTAAAAAAAATTATATTTCAATTTTCTGTCTTCAGACTTCCCACCTTTCAAGTAGGTCCTTAAACAAATGTGAATCAAACACTGGGGTAGACTCCAGCTGTTAATTTAATGGGCTCCTACCCCCCCAAAAAAGATGCCTGTTGAGTTTATTATACTAGGAATGACTCAAGGTGGACACTGATAAAGATTTCATTGTGTAAAAGGAGTGATAGACTTGTTGTGAGAAAGGTTTCTGCCTCCCACACACAACCCTTCCTACTCTAAAAATACCTCCATTTCCTGACTGTTTGGAAAGGCTTGTTTGTCAGTGAATCACCATCGGATCAAAAATCAGGTAACCGCGTTGGCTTGTGAAGACAACAAGCGAGGCTCGTTGGGCGGATCCTTACTTTACAACAAGTCCCCCTCTCTGTGCGCAAAGGTGCCAATGACAACGTCATGGAGACATCTAAACAAGCGTTCAAGGTTGGTTGCAGCATCCACATATATTAAAACTCTCTAGCATGCTGCAGATTCTGGGAATTGAAGTCCACACACCTTCAAGTGGCTAAGGGTAGATAACAGGCTCTAAGGTGGGGCCCCTGGGGTTCAGTGCTGGAAGGGGTTTGCAGAGTAGAGGAGGAAGAGGAGGACTGGGGAGTCTGAGGTTGGTTGTTTTCTTGCAGATGTTTCATGACCCAACTAGGTACCTTATCCAGATCAGAAGGGAGTGGAATTTGTGAGTGGAAGAGAAAAAGGAGGAGGATTATGGGATCCTTGGAGCTTGTGGTTTTCTTGCAGACGTTTCATGACCCAACTAGGTAAACATAATCAGTGCTAGATGTTTGCCCCATCTAGCTCTGATGATGTTACTTAGTTTGAGTCATGAAACGTCTGCAAGGTAACAACCCAGGTCAGAGAGCACCAAACATCCTTCCTTTCAATCTTGAGCTACAAATATTCTCCTTAACAGCCTCTAATGTGTTATTTATTGGTAAAACCATCCTGCTCAGCCACATTTACTTTCCAAAAAGAGACTTATTTTGAGTTTTGATAGGATACAAACATTCTGCCAAATCCCAGAGCCTAATGCCACATTTTTCTTCAACAGCGGTATTTAGAAGATGAAGTTATCCAACTCGGCTTATGGGGAAATGAAACTCTTCAAATCTCGGCTAATAAGCAGAGCCACTGTATTGATCAATGAGCTGCTTCCACATTACAGTCACCAACATAAATAAGAGAAATATCTATCACCAACTAAGACCTTTAATGAACCAGCAACACTAATAGACTATATCTGCCAAAACCAAGGATAATTCTAGTATATTACTTTGTACAAAATTGTCTGCCTCTCACACCCTGCTGAAATGTATTACGTGAGTGCTTTTGTTTTTTTAAAGAAACCGAGGCAGGGAGCTGTAGCAAAGAGTCAGATTCACATGGCTTGTGTGCCAGAAGAAGCTCAAAATAGCTCCACACATTTTTCAACATGGATAACACACGACATCTATCTCTACAAGAACCCTGTAGATTTTTCCTCTGGGCTTCTCCAAGGTTGAATTAACTGAGATCCTATATCCTGGTTCAAAAGATTAACACCCTTCAATTGTGTTTCAAGAACACTGTCGGTTTCCAGCACTAAAAACTGGAGATGTATCATCCATGTATGCTCTGCCTCCCCATCTATCAATGTCACCTTGTTGGATACAGCAGTTGTGACTTCCCTGTGACAACATGTGTAGGGTTCTGAAAATCTGGCAGTTTCCCTGGGTATTTGGACCAGATTAAGCAAGCTCTGGCTTGGATGCGGTGTTTGCAATTGTGACCAACTGTTCAACTTAAATGTCATGGGTTACTCTTTGTTGCTTTTCTGGGTATAAATGTGGTCGGATTCGGCCTTCTGGAATTTGTGGATTGTTTTTGAACTAACACAAGTTCTGCTTTCTATGATTCTGATCCAGCTTAAAAATTGCGCAATCTTGACTACTTCCCTTTGGTTAGAAGGTCCTACTAACTCACTTTCTGATAAAAACCAGATGGCTGGGGGAGATGGTGTCCGCTTTCTATGATTTAATCTTTGATTAAATCTTCTCATGGATTATTGGTATGATAAAAGGGACAGGCAAATGGTTTTTAATCAGTGTAGGACATGTTTTGGAAAGCAAAACAATGGAGGTCCAGTGTCTGCGGCTGTTTTGGTTTGGGAATCAGGCAGCGCTACTCTAGCGTTTCTAAACTTTGTCAACTTGAAGATTTGTGGACTTCATGCTGGTGGAGAATTCTGGGAGTTGAAATCCATACATCTTCAAGTTGACATGGTGGAGAAAGACTGTTCTATTCAACCCGAAAGAAAAAGGGAGAAAGGTCAAAATAGCCCAAAGAGTTTACTTGAAGAACATTTCATCGTTAACTCCCCCCCCAAGGAGACACATGCCTAAGGTGTTTGCTGGTATCAGTTGAGTAAGTCCACCAAGAACATACTTGCTGATGTTTACACTTGTCCATCTTCTCAGATATGTTATGCCTATATGGGTAGGGGAGCAGGAAATAAAATAAATAACTTGCCTTGAAGATCAAGCAGTCTTCTTTGTGCTCGGCATAGACAGAGGTGAGACAGTATTGATTCTCAATCGTAATATCAATATGGTAGCCGGTCAGTTTATAACACACTTTGCGAAATTCTTGAATCTTCGTTCCAAAGACCTCCCTTAAGCGCTGGTTTTTCAACTCCGCACTTTCCAGTTGCTTCTTTAATTCTGGAACAAAGCAGAGATTACAGTTTTGTTTTGTTTTTTTACAGTCCCCACAGAGTCTGTACGTCAAAGGGGTCATAAAAGGGCCAGGTTTGAAGACCCTTGCTGTACATAGATGAGAAAAATCAGCAGAGGGAGTAGAAACCAAGACTGGGGAAGCGAATGAATGCTTTTCAAGTCCTTAAGAAAGCGAAGGAAAAAAAAATGTCACCTGAACCAGTCAAAAGAAGTTGGGCCTGAGCATATGGGAAACCCCCTCCCCAAATCTCATCAACAACTACCAGACTTGTATCACTTTGTTGTTGTATGTACACTGAGAGAACTATACACCAGAAACAAATTCTTTGTGTGTCCAATCACACTTGGCCAAATAAATATTCTATTCTGTTCTGTTCTATTCTGGGTTCTATTCTAGTCTATTTTACGTTCTGTGTTCTATTCTGTTCTGAGTTCCATTCCATATTCTATTCTATTCTATTCTATTCTATTCTATTCTATTCTATTCTATTCTATTCTATTCTATTCTATTCTATTCTATTCTATGCTCTATTCTGTGTTCTATTTTGCATTTTGCAGGAGAGGGGGGTGGAAATCTCTCCAAGCTATACAAAACAGCAAACTCCATAGCCGAATGCCATCTCTCTCTCTCTCTCTGGCAGATTTTTGGCCAAGAAAAGGCAGCAGAGTTGGCTGCCACTCAGACAGTATTTTATTGTTAGGAAAGTTTGCTGCCAGTTGAGTGAATCCTTCAGGGGGATACACAACAATTACCATGAATCCTTCACCCAAGGTGCTTTCTGAGTAATTAAGCCACAATTTATCCCCCCATTAATTACCGAGAAGAGCTTTAGTTAAACACAAGTCAGAGATGCCACCTAAGTCAGCTTGTTTGATCAACACAGCAGCCCAGAAGGCTTTGGTTCCCATAATAAACGGAGACCCTTGCTCTCCAGAGGCTGTGACATCTTTCTCCCGTCCCCTCTAGGGCTACATGACTGTTCGGCCACCGGGCTGTGGGAGAGGAGGACAGAGGTGGCTCCAGCTGAACATCTGCAGTCATTCAAGGGGTGCTCTGCACTTTCTAATTGAGTTTTTATATGTCATGCTTATTAAAGGTGCTGCTGATGGTTAGCACAATGACTACACTTCCATCTATGTGACATGGCACTCAGCAATTTCAAGTGACAGGGTCTCGGCATCGCGAACCTAACATTTGAATTCAGAGGGCGCCATAGTTAAAGGGGAGAAAAAACATACCGGGATATCGGTTACACACATGAGCCACCTGCACCCCAAAAGGTTGGGCTTTGCTCTTGCGGAGAGACCTTGTTTTCTTTGGGTTTCTAGGGGTGCTGTTTTCCCATCAGTGTTCCCCCAGCCCCAACCTTGCTCTTGAAGATGATCTGACAGCCTTGTGCAAAAGTCTGGCTGTAGAATGAGCCGGGGAACAGCACCCAGATCTTAGCAGTCAAAAGGCATCTGGGTAGAGGCCCGTACTATCACCTGGGTATAATAACTCAGGTGCCTACTGTCTGGTGTGCAGTGGATGCTTAGTGTGGTGGAAGAAAGCACGTTTTACGTAAGGAGGAAGGAAGGAAAGAAGGAAGGAAAAGAGGGAGCAAATGAAATGAGAGGAAAGAAAGAAAGAAAGAAAGAAAGAAAGGAAGGAAGGAAGGAAGGAAGGAAGGAAGGAAGGAAGGAAGGAAGGAAGGAAGGAAGGAAGGAAGGAAGGAATAAATCTAGCTATATGTATTCAAAGATCTAGAGATCAGGAAAGGAGCACAGTGCATACCACCTGGTGCTCCAGGAAAAGGGATACAGAAAGCTGCGGAAATGAAACCTAATGATATGCAATTAAAACTTGCCCTTTCCTGCACTGAAGTCTTTAGTTGCAGAAGCCACCCTAAGGATTGGGAGATGTTCCCACTGCTAGGGGTAAAGCAGTTTGAAAAACTGGAGGAGCTTTGGCTTAAGCACTCTTAACCAACCCATTTCATCTTCACTGTGCTGATGAAGAAACATCCACGGACAATTTCCTTCTCGCTATCACCTAGAACATCTCAGTTCCTCTTTCCTCTCAGGATGTACGTAATGGGTATTCCCAGAGCTGTCCTGCTGCTGGATAACCTTCTCCCAACTAAAGACAGGCATAGTCACAGGTTGCTCTGACAGAAGCATCATGGCTCAAGACCCAAAGCTTACGCCTTCTTCCTGGGCCTACCACGGTCTCCTTGAGGCCACTTCCTGGCACGCTCCACCCCTTGATAAAAACCTTCCATGGCCATAATCATCTATAGAAATCAGAAGGTTGATTAACCGCTCTGACCTCAATATCTTCCCCATGTTGCATTCACGTAGCCCCTCTTTAGCTAAAAGGAAGCCACCGTGGATGAAAAACAGAAGCTCCTCCTAACAGAGAAAAGATCTACAATCCATTGTCTGCACTTTTTGGTGCCAAGCGGTATTTAATCATAGACAAAAGCTGCCCCCCCCCCGTATTAGTACATTCCAGACACCCAACTGAGCATTTGTTTTCGGAATACAATGCAAATTCTCTGCTCCAAATTCTCAAAGCCGAAGTATCAGGTGTTGGCTTGACTCAGCTGGTGGGAATAGCTGGGAGAAGAATGGGAGGAGGGATTCAGTAGCAGGTCCTTAAGAATTAAGCTGCCCTCCCATTTTTTCAGCATTGTTTAGACATTTGGATGGATTTTTAATCACCAGCTTCCTCCTGGCCTTGGAGATAAATTAGCATGAGCCAGAAAGAGATTGAGAGAATGAGCCATTAATGACATCTGCTTCCCATCACCCTCCGTTTCAGTTGCCCTTCTTCTTTTCCTGACATGGATAACCAGGCTGAACAGGGGAAATGCTGGCTTGAGGGGACCAGCCGCCTTTCACAGAACCCTCGTCTGAAGATCAATGCGAATTCGGATAGCATTTTGGAAGTCCTTGAAAAGTTGACGTTCCTCAAGCACAGAGTCTAGGGTTGAGGTGAGCCTCTCTCTGCAAGGTATTTCAGAGAAATATAAAACATTCTGAGCTGCCACTTATATTAGACAGTTATAACACACATTGGCTGGTTTGAAGACAAACATTCGAAAGTTCTACTTGGGAAAGAGAGTTTAGTTATAACCACTACTTGGCATTTTGAGGAACCACTGATATAGAATATAGAATAATAGGCTTGAAAGGGACCTTAGAGGTCTTCTAGTCCAATTCCTCAAGTAGGAGACCCATACCATTCAGGACAAATGACTGTCCAGTCTCTTCTTGCAAACCTCCAGTGATGGAATATCCACAACTTCTGGAGGCAAGCCGTTCCACTGGTTGATTGTGCTCACTGTTAGGAAGTTTCTCCTTAGTTCTAGATTGCTTCTCTCTTTGATATTTCTTGTCCTGCCTTCAGGAGCTTTGAAGAAAAGGTTGATCCCTTCTTCTCTGTGACAACCCCTCAAATATTGAAAGACTGTTACCTTCTTTTTGTTAGACATACCCAGTTCCCTCAATCGTTCATTGTATGGTTTAGCCATACAATAGAACTGAGTCATCTGGTTCTTCGTCTATGAAGAAGGCGAGATCTCACCCAGCTTTGTCTTATCCTATCATGACGGCTTGTTACTCCATGATTCTGTCATCCCCTTTGTCCTCTCCCTTCACACAAAGCAACCCACCTGTTTTAGGAAAGAATCTCTGGGACAGACTTGGCTTCTCTGCTTTTCGACGGATGCTCTCGGGAGAAATAAAAACCCAGAGCTTGTTTTTCTGTACCAGACAGAATACCTAGAAGGCCTAACCTCGCTTTCTGGAACGGCAAAGGCAGCATTTCAAATGTTTCCGGGGGTGGCTGATTACTTGTCTTTGTCAGCATTGAAGGAGATTTGAAAAGCAAGATGACGTTAGCAAAAGGGCTGCCATCGCCCCTCACCAGCAACCTCCCAAAGTCTTGCCAGCTTTTATTCCAAATCAGGAAACCTCCTTTAAGGGGTTAGTTTATCGAGCTTCAAGGATGCTGGGGGGGGGGCCAGATGGAGGGGGGCATTGTGACCTGAAGCTTTTGTGAGTCTCTTACTGCTCACGCAGGAAAGCCAGGAATGCGACAGTCCTCTGGCCAGCTCACTGCTTAACCAAATGCAGTTAGCGAAAAGCAAAGACCTCATTTAAGGAGGATGGGTTTTACATTTCAGGAACAATTTGGGCACCTTTTAAACCATCTAACCAGCTTTGGAATGAAATCGGAGAGCTCCCGAAACATGGTTAAAACCAATCCCGTCCACGCTGTGCTTTCTGTATCCAAATTTTAGCTACGGGAGAAGTAGAGGAACAGGATAAGGGAGGCATTTCAAAGAGGGTGGTAGGGGTAGTAGGATAGAGGAGGAGGTAAAGGGTGTCAAAGGGAGTATTGGAGTAGCAGTGTGGGTGGGGTCAACCACAGCCACCATCTTGACTTTTTGACTCCTCCCCCCATCTATCGTGGAGAGAAGATGAGATGATTGTGCCTCTTCTGATCCTTCACTCAGATCTTCTAAGAAGATCCATCACACGTGGTCAAGAGCTATCGACAAGTCATCAAAAGTTCAAGTTCAGAGTTTATTAATATGGGCTTGTGGTTGATCTGTTGGCTAGGAAAGCTGATCAGCCATGCAAAGAGCAGAGATCTGAATTACAAGGATGTAATTCTATCCTCCTTGCTCTGAGCTAAAAAAAGGAACTTCCGTGGGTCAAAATGAGGAGCAGAGAATGGCTGGAATCATTCAGGACGGATGAAGGTTGAGGCTTTCGGGGCCACCGCAGGCTCACCAGATCTTCTGATCAGTGAAGTGATGAATCAGTGCTGACCTCCTGGTTTGTTTTGGGAGTCAGGATGGGAACAAACTCTTTGTTCCTGATTTTGGACAGAAGGGCTGTCAAGAAAGAGTAAGAAAGGCTTTCTAGCAGCAGGACACATAGACCTGGGCTTTGATTCTCTGAGGGTCTCTAGAAGAAGAGATGAACCACAAGCA